CGGGATGGGGAGATGGAAAGGGAAATGCTGTGCTGTGCTGCGCTAACGGATGTGTGTGAAACAGGATCTGAGCATGTTTCGGGAGCGGGAAAAGAGAGAGACGGGGATGAAGAAGTAGGGGAGCGCGAGGCTGAGGTAGTTAGTGAAAGAGAGATGGAAAACGGGGGGCGCATAGCTAAGGAGTATCGTATACAGTATCGAGAAAAAGCGAGGACGCATCTTCCTCCGGAACCATTCTTGAGAAACTGCTCGCCATTAAGGATTGATCTGTGGAAATATCAAGCGGAGCTTATAAAGTGCTGACCGCAAAACTGGAAACACGGAAGAGAAGAGGGAAGAAATCATTCTCTTTATAGAGCTCGAGTTGGTATCACGCAGCCTCTTTCGCGCTTCATCAGAGTCACCGCAACATTTCCGCACACTGTGAGGGCAGATACCCAGTTGCGTTCCCACCCATATGCAATCGCTGTCATTCAACATAAAATTCCATCCGTCCATCCATCCGTCCATCTAAAGCCCCAGTCAAGTGCCCAGAGCCAGCAAACGCCCGCAATGACCGTCAAAAGTCATGATCAAGCCAGCGTCTTAGTTGAAAGCAGCGCCGTTTGGCTCAATATCCATAGGACTTCCGCCACCGTTTGCCCGTCGAGTTTTTCGAGTTTGTTGTCGGGGTCGAGGTTGTGCGCCGATGGTATCATCCTCTTCGCTGTCGTCGGGGTGATCGGCGTGGAAAATTGCAGCCTCATCTAACTCTGTGACGTCGGTAGGACGATCTCTCAGCCAACTCATTCTTGGACCACTGCGAGCACGTTCCGAGACTCTGAATCCGTAAATTTTGGGCTCGTACATGTTGCCGGGGCCAAGACCGGGCGCCAGGTTGGAAGCGCTCATGCCGTTGATCTTCTCCTTTTCATCATTGTCGGCAGCTTGTAAAGCTCGGCTGTTGTGGGAACCAGAGATAGGCTCGCCCTTCTTGGAAAGGTCGTAGTCGGGGAATGTCATGAGGAATAGAGCTCCGAATGTCCGGCCAAAGAAAGCGCCATCGACAGTCTGGAATCGAGAGTTGGGAGGAACGTAAACATCCAAGCAGGAAGGGCAGAACAGCTTTACGGTGTCTTCACCTGGTACATCGGACAACCCTACAGGTAGTGTGCGGGTTCCTCCACAGTGGGTGCGAGGGCAAACGCCGAAGTGTGTAAGCTCGTACTTTTCAGACATTTGCTGGATACCGGCGCGAGAGCAGATGAAGCGTTGGTGGATCAGCCCGTAGAGCATCTCGGCGGAGGATTCGATAATAGAGAGATCCGAGGCCATCCGGTGGTGTCTGCGTTCTGCGGCTGCTCTGCGGTTCGAGCGCTCCTCCCCTTCGATAGAATCGTCAAGTTCCTCATCCTCATCCTCATCCTCTTCCTCTTCCTCGTCTTCTGGCTCGACGTCTAGAATCATCTGAGGTATGTCAGCCCAGTTCCCGAGAGCAAATCCACGAATCCTACCTCCAAAGCCTCCTTGTACATGGCGACTTGTGTTTGTAAACCCGTGAGGTTGAAATCATCCTCGATAAAGTCTTCCGATATCTCCGCGAAGTACTCATGGCCGAGCAGCGAGCAGAACGAGGAGATCCATGACTCTGGTGTTCCTGAGGAGGTAGACATCTTGGCGTATGATTTGTGGAAACGGAGGCGTTCAGGAGTTACAATCTTGGGCTTGTGCCTGCGCTGACTAGATCTGGGACCAGCAGCTGCCTTGAATCCAAGCAAAGCCCGTCTGCCCTTTTCGATACCACAGAGGAAGTCAGTATCAGGAGGAAGATCGGAGAACTTCTGGCTAGGAAGGGGGTTCTAACCACAGAGAAAGGCAGGACAGGGATGTCAGCGGAACAGGTTTCGAGATTCGAGAGTTCGGATTCCAGGGCCCGTTCAATTGTTTCAATTGCTTCACTTGCTCCAGCCCATGCAATATCGCGTCCTTCGGGTGTGTCTTCGTTGGCGTTGGCACCGGGGCGCAAAGGGAGGACGAGGCTCTGGTTGATGGAGGACTCGTCGGCAGTCTCTCTTTGTCTCTCTGGCGTGTTGTTCCCTTGCTGTACCGGATCAGACTGGTGATTTAAGCTGGTAGTGATGGATCGTAGATAGCTCTCGCGCTCGCGGGTTGGGGTGCGGACTTGAGGCGTGTCTGAATAGTTGCATGCAACGACGGTGCTGCTGCCGGAGGAATCTTCAGGGTCCTCAGGTTCAAGGCGACTTCCAGTTCCAAGACCCCGCGGCTTAGTGGCCATTGTGGATATTGTGGATATTATGGATAGCCCTGCCAGATAACCGAAGATATGCCGGTGGGACTGATTGGGCTAGGTACCGAGCATTAGCTTGGGTAAAGCTGTGAAGGCACTAAGGCCATTCTTGGCTAGACTGGATTTATCACGACCATCCACATCTACAGACTACAACAGTCCATGTTTACAACTCCGTATATATTTTATATATACAAAGACCATACAAAGGCCGGCGCTTCTTAACTTGCATCCTCTTGACCTCGAATTACTCGGATTCTGGCCAGTTTGCACGTCAACAAGTGCTGAGCTGGACCAGGCCCTACTTTCTGATTGTACATGCTCCGTCGACCATCACAACTGAGAATCGAGATGTCACTTTGGAGTCATAATCGGTTGAACATTTACATGATATTCTCACCCCAGGCTCAGATGGCCGGCTGTTCACGAGCACCCAACTATCCATCATCTCCGACCCGCAGCCCCAGCAAAACCACAAGCATCCGCCCCCGCCAGATATTCTAGTGCCACAGGCCTGCTGAGCTACAAGCACCTCCCGCCTTCCCACACTTCAATCCAATATGATACAAACTATCCCCGTGTCGAGGGTTTCCATGTGCCCAGACTCCAACACAAGATAGTACCAACAGAGAAGGAGAGACATAAAGACATAGTGGACTACCTTCCTTGCTGCTCCACCTGAATAATTCTGTGTGCGAACACCGGGTCATAACGCACCCCAAGACATACGTCAATATATGAAAAAGATGAGACGGGCCTGGCAAACGCCACGTTCTCCTTCTTCTCCGGAGCATCTTGAGGCAGATAAACATCGCAAACTCGTAAAAGAACAGTAAAGCAATGGTTACTTTGTGTAAAGACCATCTGAAGTTCCAAAGCGCAAGGCAGTGCAATGGAGTGCAATACATGGACGCAGGGAATTTTAGATGCCCAAGGGTATATATGTGTCAAGTAAAGACTTCCCTGGAGAGAAATTGTAATGAACTAAAACATGGCACCCTCGACACGGCGGAGAGGAGGGCCAGAGCCGGCTGGGAAGGTTTCTGGCATAGGTGGGCTTGAAGCAGCGTTGGCCGCTTGTCGAGTGCGAGCGTTGAGGTTGCCGCCTTCGCTAGAGCTTTTACGAAGTCTTCCACGGGTTTTCGACTTGTTCTCGCCTTCATCAGCAGAAAATGTGGACATTTCTTCGGTTGATTGGGTCGCGGCTGGCATCGGTTGAACCTCGTCGTCATCGCGTCTGCCCATGAGTCCTCCGAACATGGTTCGTGTTTGACGACGCTTGGGGTTAACCGGAGGAATTGGTGGCGCATTAAGCTCAGTCCCGTTCGTAAGAGACAATGCAGAAGGGAGATTGACAGTCGGCATCCTAGACGTTGAGGATATGAACTTTGGTTCTGAGATGTCGGATTTGTTGATCGATTTTTTGCGCGCTGTAGGCCGGGCTGGACCTTGAGGTTCTTGAGATGCCGGTGTGTTGGTTCCAGATCCGGCTGGTGAAGGCTGCGACAAAGCTGGAGTTGCGTTCGCGACAAACGGTGCGCTTGGCGAAGGTCTCGGCGAAGAGCCAATATCAAACCCCTCCATGTTCATTGGAAGGGACGGCTTTTGCTCAAAGTACCCTGCAGTCGTAGATTGGCTATTGCTTCGAGTCATCATCGGAGAGTGGAGGGGAGATGGCGACGCGGGAAGTCCCACGCCAGGAGGAGGCTTGGGCATGAGACGTGTTGGAGGGTAGAGTCCTCGATCCTCAAGTTCAGCCTGGGTGGTACCTTCAGCCATGCTCGGGCCCAGATCGTCTCTGCGAGTGCCAGTACGGCTCTTAGAGCGCCCGCAAGATGCGTCGGATCCGGATCTGTCGCGAGAAGCATTCGAAGGAGCAGTAGACGGTGGCCGCGATGCAGAGCGGCTTGCACCCCTAATTTCCTTGCCTTCTTGAATAGTGCCTCCATTTCGATTGGTGTATGTCACGGGGGGAGGTTTCCGGTCTCGACTTGGAGTACGATGCGGAGGTGTCATGTGAGTTGCAGCGGCCTGCTCTTGATAGCGGGCACGAGGCTCCACCCTTGGATTTTCCATCTGATTGTCCAATCGAGAATTCTCCACCCGAGAGCGGACCGAGTCTTCCATGCGTGAGTTCTCAATGCTCGAGTTTTTTTTGACCCAAGAGTCATCTATTCGCTGAATCCCTGGCCTTGGCCTGTCTCCCTCCTTCCGCTGAGCGGGCCAGCCCTGGGTATCTCCCTGGCCTGCCCTCCGCTGATGTCTCATGGTAGTTTGTCGTTCTCGGTCAGGTTGAGCAGCTTTCCGCGCCTCTCTGTATGCTATGTCCTGGGGTGGTGTCGACTCAGAGCCGCATACCGGCTCCGGTTCTTCATCTTCCTTTGTCCAGGGACAGTCCTCAAATCGAGGGTTCCGTGGAGATGGCGACAACCCAGACCCACTGCTGATGGTTGCGTTGCCGATTCCCAGTAGCTTCATGGCTATGGACGTACCAGCTTCCTTCGGTCTGGGAGCCAGAGATCCTTTGCTGGTCTTGGTCTTCAAGAGTCCTAGCGCATTGGTCTTGGCCTGATGGGCATCCTTGGGGAAATCTGACGGATGGGGTGGCATGGGACTCGTTGATCGACTTTCGCTCTCCTGCAAGCTTTGCATCACCTCTTGGACCCTGCGTTTTCGTGATGCAAGCTCATTCCTGAACTCCTGTTCTTCCTTCTGTGTCTCCGTGCTTGCCTCTCTAGTATGACGACTCTCCGTTGCTCTCTCCCAAGAAGCCTTGCCAGAATCGTCTATTTTGGGTAATCGCACGAAACCGGAACATGGTGTTGGCGAGGTAGCTTCTTTATCCACAAGGTTGGCAGTAGTATCCTCGCCGTAGTTTCTCTCCCGATCCCAGTCATCATTCTCCCAAGGGTTGTCATTCGTGCTGTACACACTAGAAGGAGCTGACACCCGAGAATCTGTTGGGAATCGGGACACGGGGCTCGCTGATGGAGTAGTCCCATATACCGAAGAAGTATTGCTGTCAGACCTCAAATGAGACCGCACCAATCCACTCAAGCCAGCTCCAGGCAAAGTGGGCGAGTCGACCGGTAGCTGCATGGAACGTACTGAATACGGCCGCATATTTGCCGGGATTAGCGCAGGGATAGGAGCAGCATTACTTTGATCCACGCGCTGCCGGTTTGCAGGATGTTGTGATTCATCAGGTCGCTGAATCCTAGACCGCTGATCTTGGAGAAACATCTGAGACAGGTCGAGCGGTTTGGGGTAATTCTTATGCCTGGATGGCTCTGTGCTAAGGTCATTAGAAGGGGCGGAGGCACTCTCTGGCGATTCCAAGAAGATCCCTAAACTCGTAGCCCCATTTTCTACTACGGAGCGCTTGCTCGTTGGCGAACCAAGGATACGATCCTGAGTGAACAACGCCCCTCGCGCCGAGGAGTTAGACCTTGATCTAGGTGGTGCGTGAGTAGCCTCAAATTCGGCTCTCTTTATGCTTTCCAACTGTTGCTCCCGCTGCTGATGCTGTTCTTTCTGGGGAATCAAAGCTCGTGGGACAGAGTTCTTTCTCGGAGGCGGAGGAGCTTCTCGATCTTGTTGCATTTGGATCTGTCTCTGTGAGAACTTGAGATCGTCGTATGCAGCGGGCTTCGAAAATGCACCCATTGCTGTTGCCTTGCCCCGGTCGTTTGGCTGTAAAGGTAGGACCCCTTGCCTATCGTATTCTGTCATGGGCGGACTGAGTGGAGGAGAAGCCATTCCGTACGGTTTGGAACCAGCATTGCTGTTTTTTGGTACTCCAAAGTCAAAAGTTCCCATTGTCGTGCCACTAAGTGGTGGGCTCGCAGTTTGCAAGTTTGGCAAACTTTGTTTTCCAGTGATCGATCGTTCCCATCGATCTGCAGGAGCCTGGCCATAGATAGGCGAGATTCCTGTAGGTGGTGTATTGGCGCCCAGCGTGCGTTGTCTCGTCAAAGTGTCAATCCTGTGCATAGCAGAAAACTGCTGTTCATGCAAGTGATTGTCGAGTCCAGTCTCATATAACCTTCGAGTCTTGGTTGCCGATCTCTCCAGTCCTGCGTTCCCAGCCTTAGCGGGTGTGCTTGGAGCGTGCCCTCCGTTCAATGAAGGCGTCCGTTGCGAGGTGAACGAGGTAGCGGCCGTAGAGCTCCGGGTGATCGATGGGCCAACTGAGGATGTCGTGGATGACGTCTCTCTGTTTCGGTTGTACCCAGGAGGTGGTGGTGACCTAGGCCGTGAAGACTCTGCCTCCACTTCTTCCAGCTGGCTCTCTTGCTCCTTCGATTCCCTTCCCTTTTCTCGGATCTTCTGAAAGGCCGATTGGCTGACATCGTTATCATATAACGCCCTATTCCCCATCATTATCTTCTGTCGGCCACCAAAGAGATTGTTGCTTTCCCCAGGTCTCGCTCTACTCATTATGCCCCCATGTGTCGAATCGGCATCTGACCCACACCACTCCGATCCCAATCCAGCGAAAGATTCCGTCCTGCCGTAGGCAAATGGGGGTCGTACCGCGCCGTTGATGGAAGAAACCTCTGCAATATCTGTTAAGTTCTGAGCTGAGAAGCTGAAGTCGTTACATCTCAATTGGGGTTTGGAAAACAAAACGCTGTCGTCACTCGCTTTTCCAACCTTCGACTCCGGGTCGTCTTGTTCACGAAGCATTGAAAAGCGGGCTGAGAGACCGCTCATCAAGAGACTTGTCCGAAAGTCTTTCGTGGAAGGAAGGGCTGTCGAAAGATCAATCTCTGGCTTTGGTTCTGGTTCTTGGGCTTTCTTCCCTCCAAGCCTGAACGTCTTCGAAGCCTTCACAGGCGGCGGTGGCCCATCTGAATCGGTTGAAACCCTGACAAGTGTGTCTGGTGCCGCATCTTTGGCTTTCCTCTTCGCCCGGAAACGATTCATCCTGATTATCTGCTTCTCCTACCGGCGCCCCCCGAACAGTGTGGATCCTGAAAGTTGGGTCGATCGCAGAAGCTCCGAAGAAAGATTGCCGGCAACAATTATCTGTGAGCAAGCTCACAAGCTTGACCCGAGCTTCTCTAGCGCACCGACGTATTAAATGGTCCACGGAAGCGGGCAACAGCGAAGCCTGTTCGTAGATTCAATAAGCAGCTCTGAGAATGTAAACAGAAGCAGCCACTTACGTGGTGATAACAGACCAGTAGTTGGCGCGGCTAATTCAACCCCAGATCCAGTACAAATGGCCCACAATGTGAGGTTCGATGTGATTCCTTTTCTCAAGAAAATGGTGCACAAGGTACTCGTGCATCAACGATGAGAAGCAATGCTGAGCTCACGTCGATGTCAACGGGGTTTATGGTTGGAGCTGGAAATGACTGCTACGGGCCCCTTGGTTCAATATTGACGCGGTTGGGATCGTATATTGGTAGGCAGAAAGTTTCCTTCGGGATCTCGAGCTCCAGGTCTCTTCTACTCGGCCGCCGTCGGCAGCGGTTGATCGGTGGGTAGCTGCAACGGGAGAAGAATCTTCGCGCGTCGGTGTTCAAGGGCGGGATGTGATTCGAGCAAGGAGGACGCGTCGAAGCCAGCCTGAAGCTGGACGGCTTGATGCAGAAGAAGCTGGATGGAAGGTTGCTCCGCGATTCGTGTGACAATGCATTCAGGAGTGCAGTGAACAATTGGGGATGCTGGAAAAGCTGCGGGCGTAAAGGAAATACCCCGTGTATTGTTTGCAAACAGGAGTTTCTGGAGAATACCGGCGGGTTGTTCGACCCGAGTCTCTGGTGGTGATTGAATGAATGAATGACGGAATGAGTGAATGAGTAGATGAATGAGTGACTGAGTGACTGAGTGACTGAGTGAATCAGTGAATGAGTGAAGGGGTGAATGAGTGAATGAATGAAGCAGGGGATGGTGAGTATGGGTCGGCGGAAGGAGTATCCGTAGATGGCCTGGATTCCGCTGCTCGGAGGCTGGCAGGAGGAGGTTAGTAGGCAGAAGTGGTGATTGGTACGAGGAGAGAAGGTCGATGCAATTGAATGCAAAAGAAAATGCAGAAGTACGTTGTCAATAGAAGATCAGGTACGGGGATCAGGGGATGGGGGGGTGGATTGGGTTGGTTGCTTTGGTTGCTTTGGTTGGTCGGTTGATTGGTCGGTCAGTTGGTCGGTTCTGCTCTACCTAATAGTCCCGTGCGGGATGGGGGGGGGGAAGGTCGGTGGCATGAGCAGGGGCACTAACGGTAGGTAGGTAAGGTAGATATTTGATATTTGATATTTGATATTGGATATTGGATATGATATCCAAACATGGACTACCGCTACGATGTAGGGCATAGTATGGTCTAGATGAAATTGGAATTGCTACCACCTACATCACAGTCTGGAATTGGAATTGGAACCGGAATTGCTGCTGGATTCCGAATAGCCTCCGTGATGATCAGCAATCAACAACAGCTTGTGCAGCTCACTACCTAACCCTGGTACCGAAAGTCTGTGGTCGGGCCTACGACTCAAGGCGAGAGGTGACGAGGTCCCTCTCCTTCTCTCCCTCTTCCTCTCCCTCTTCCTCTCCCTCTCACCAGGGAATCCCTCTCGGAAATACTACTACCACTCCCTACCAACAGCGCACAACTCGCTCTGGTCTGAGCACACCGAACCAGCTGAGCAAGGGACTGCCTGCCTGTAGGATTTCTGGCTACCAAGAATAGAAGAATAGGTAGGTAGGTAGTCGTCCGTAGTACCGTGCCGTACCGTAGTGGTTGCAGTGGTACCGGTACCTAGTAGTACTTACACAGGTAAGAACACAGATAAGTAACGCATGCTCCATCCATTCCATGTACTCGGGCGCGTCAAACGCTGCTTCAGTCAGTGGTTTGTCTCAGCTTGACCAACTTTGACCATCACTCAAGCCGGCCCCGAGCTACGCCTGGCAACTGCCGCGTATCCTCTGCGTAGACTGTGGACTGTCGACGGTAGACGGTAGACTGTAGACTGTCGGATGCAGACAGACAAGCCAGACTGCAACTTGGCTTCTGTCTCCTGAGCCTTGTATCTGCAAAATGGATTTTTCTCCTTGTCCCAGACCCTAGATGGAACCCCCTAGATCCCTTCTCCGTGGCCAAGCGCTCTGGATCGATCTCAGCAGCTCTGTTTTGCCCTTCCCTCCAAGTCTTGTTTTCTTTTTTGTCGCACGCGTAGTCCTGGAGGATTATCATGGGTTATTACAGTACCTACCTACCCATTGTTGCAGCTTTGTCGTCCAGTACTTTTGATAGAGTGGCATATCGCTTCACTGGCCCCCAAATCTCGGCGAGAGCTCATTCTCATTCTTAGGATGGTGACTCTTCACATTCAGAAGATCATGTCAACAATAACAACAACAACAACAACAACAACAACAACAAAAACAGACCAGCTCAAGCGAGTCATCCACACCACCTGTGACCCGCCATCCCCACCCCCCGCCGACGGAGAATTTGTGTTACGTTTCACTACGAAAATCGCCTATACTACGTACAGTAGAGCCTGGCTGCATCTCCGTACCCATCCCAAAGAACAGATGGCCGGTCTACTCAGTGCACACTCCATACACAGTCCACTCCTGACCCCACCGTTGTCGCAGGAGTTCAAGCTGGCGACGACGAGAAGGGCTGGCTGCATGATATCTCACTCGACCAGCCAGGGGCGGGTCAAGTCAAACGGTGCGTGCGTGTACCGGTACTTGCCACTGGGCCATACAGTAGGTGTAGTACTAGTACTACTACTACTACTACTACTACCGGTACTACTACGTACTTGTAGTAGGTAGTACTTACTGTACAGTATTAGAGTTTGCCTGCAAGGGATCAGCCTTGCGTGCTGCACTTTGCGGAAACGGCTGCCGGAGAGTAGTGTGAGATGCTTCTTCGTACCTGGCGCTTATCTGGATGTGGCCGCCACTCCCCGAGTCCTGAGGTCCGGGACGGCTGAGGTTCGCGAGAACTCTGTGTGTAGGAAAGCAACGGCACTGGTGGTCTACCTACCTACAACTACCGGTAGGTAACTACTCCGTACTATCTACTACAGTAAGTAAGTACCTACTTCCTTTCCACCTGCAATTCTGCATCGCTCCAAAGGAGCCCGAAAAGGAGGCCGAAAAGCCTCCGCACTCGGAGATGAGATGACCAGCCGGAGATGTCCAACGAACGACCCGATCCTGATCAGTCTCGGTCCAACCCTTGCCGTCAGCCAGCCAGGTCTCAAATCCGTCTCCGTTCCGGAATACTGTATGTAACCTTGGTTCACGTGCTCGAGACCCACGCTTTGCAAATTGATCCTCAAGTTGATCAAGTTGACAGCTCAACTATTCTCCGCAAGCGAGCTCACAAATCTCATCCCATTCATTCGCTACTCCGTACTCCGTAATCCAGATGCAACCATAACACCAGATGAATGCAAATTCCAAACCAGATTCATCTAATGGTAACGCCTTCAGACCGTCGTCACTCGTACTATTATTGATCTGATCTCACAGGCCAGAACGGCAACTGGCAACTACCGCATGTATGACAGTTGATTGGTGGCTCCCAAATTACCTCCTTCACTGACGACCTCGGCTTCTCTACCGGATCCTCTTTTAGAAGATGAACAGAACAAACGCCTCGGGCATCACATTTGTTTCGATCTCATTCTCTCCTCCGAAAGTACGGCGTAGGTAACCCAAAGCCCAGCACACAACCCGTGCTCCCCAACGCCGCAACCCCCCTTCTCTACGAACCCTGCCAGCATCATCTCCGCAGCTGGCTCTCCCCTTCCTGGTGTGCTGGCCAACAAATCCAATATATATTTACATACATATCTATAGATGTCGCGGCTTAATACTCTTATCGTGCTCACAGCTCTCCTCCTAGAGTGCCAAACGGATCCAAGCACGGCTCCAGCATTCTTCGCCTCCTCCTCAACCATCCCAACCCCCTTGCCTTATGATGTGACCGCTAATCCATCCATTCTTTCTCCTCGGCCACCAGCAGGCGTTTACTTACGTTTGCTTCGAGAGGTGATCGGCGCAGAAATCTATCAATTTTTATTAATGTTATCGTTTTGTTATTATCGTCGTCGTTATTGTTTTTCTTCTTTTTGTTCGCGGGGAAGCGAGGAACCAAGCCATTACATAGACGGGAAGATGGGACGTTTTGACACGCCAGAACGTAGATGAGAGTCGAAAGAATCCAGTATAGAATTGAGCCAACCGCAGGTGACTATCTAAATACTGGAGTAACCAGCCTCTGGCATATTGACGACGAGATAATAATGAGAATTCTTGTCGACCAATCTCGCTTAGGTCATGCTATTCTCTTACGTTGTATATCTGTTTGTCCATCTTTGCTATATATCGATCATTGCTTGTTCGGCTGCATCCTAGTGAGCTGCACAGATGCGAGCGAGCATCTCCGTTTTCTTGATATGCCGTATGTATGGAAAAGAGGACATTTGCAATGCACACTCGTTTCATGTCTCTCCAGTAAGCATCGGCAGTAGGCTGCTATTCGGCAATCCCCTTCATCGCAAGTCAGAACTCGTCCTTCCCAAGGAGAGGGTTGGAGAGAGATATAGGTGTTGCGATATCGGAGGTAAGTGTTGGCGGTCGATATTGGTTTTGTCTTACATGTTGCAGCTATGTTTGCACGCCTTTTTGGATACTCTACTACCTTGTGATTATTGCTCGTGTTGTATCTTGTATCGAGGCTACCATTCTGCTCCTCGTATCTATCTACTCACGGTGAACGACTCTGGCTCAAGTGATTGTAGATATATATGCCTTTCAAAAAGTGACCGGACATTCAAACTGCTTCAGTGGCTCTCGATTTCTGTCTGTAGCAAATGGAAGTTCTTGCTCCTCGCTTCTGTCCATAGCCGCCGCCATAGCTCGAAGCTTGATAATCTCCTTGATAGTCATTAGATGTGAAAGATCGCTAATGTATGGGTAGCATTCGGTTAATAGAGACCGAGCCGAGTCCTAGGTACTTCTCGGGTAGATAGATGTAGCGTCAATAATGTCAACATCCACCAAATGTATTCATCATCCTATTCTAGCCTCGGTGCTACCCCCACACATCCATTAAAAGAGTTCCCGTCCAGAAGAAGTACTTATAGGTACCTATCTTACAATCCATCTTGAATCACGTTCCTGCTATCCCCGAACCAAGCCCGCTGAGTAAGCGATAAAACTACTTTATTGACCTCTTGACCTCCACCATCGTCAAGTTCCATCCCCTCCTCCTCTGCCTCACTAGCATCAAGGGGCCACAAACCCCCATCGTGTCGAACTCCTCACCCACGCCCCCCAAAAAATGTCTCTTCCCGCCACCCTCACCATCGCCCTCCTTGCCCTCCTCCACATCTACATCATGATCCTCGAGATGTTCCTCTGGACCACACCACGAAGCCTCCGAGCCTTCGGCTTCAAACCCGATTTCGCCGAGAAGACCCAAACCCTAGCCGCCAACCAAGGCCTCTACGTAAGCCAGACAAACAAACAAACAAATAAAAGCGACCATACTCCCCTCTCCCCTCCCCCTCCCCTCCCCTCCACCCAACCTCATCACCCCCGGGGAATTCCCCCCCCCATCCTTTCTTCCCCAAAGCCAGCATAATATCCCAACATGTCGAATATACTTTGTGAGTAGTATGCTACCTATGCTGACTCTCCCGCTCCCCGTCATCTAGAACGGTTTCCTCGCCGCCGGCCTGCTCTGGAGCCTCGTGCACCCGGCTCCCGAGGTTGGGAGGCAGCTCGGCCTGTTCTTCTCCGGGTGTGTGCTTGTCGCGGGGCTCTACGGGGGTGCGACGACGAATCGGAAGATTGTCTTTGTGCAGGCTCTTCCGGCTGGGGTGGCGATTGCTATGGTGCTTTTGTTTGCGTAGGCTAGTTAGGTAGGTACGTGTGGTGTTGGTAGTAGCAGGGAGGAGGGAAGGAAGGGCAGGAAGGGGTAGGGTGGGGGGGTGGGGGTTGGCTGGGAAGGGAAGGAGCAGAAATGTACCGAGAAGAGAGGAATTGAATTGGAGACAGGGGGGGTTCCAAAGTGCGAAGTCCAAAAGTAAGTCGGATCCGGTGCGGTCTGGGAGATGAGATCTATCTGAATGTCATACGGTCCAACTACCTGCTTGTTTTGCTTGACAGCTTGGAGGAAGCTTAGAAATGGACGGTGGTTTTGGGTACCTATCCACGTGTTTCTTCTACACCTTTGGACCCAAAGTTCAGATCCGGCTTGCCTACCTGGCAATGCATGCATCAATCAGTCTCTCGATCAGGATCGATGATTGGTGTTTCTGGGATTACGATGATATACGCTGCTTGGTGTATGGCTTTGATTTAACTTGAAGAGAACCTAACGGTATATGGCGGTCATCAAATCAATCATCCTCACACTCATAGTGATAGTATCGACGACATCCGCGTCGATGGGAAAATAGGAAGTAAGACCGACCAACTGGCCACGATCTACAAGCCTGTAAATTCTTCCCTAGTGACTAGAATGGTGCGGAGAGTGGATTGGTCGACGAAGACATTCCACAAGCGATCATAAGATGGATATCAGTGAGTCACAAGATCCAGACAGCTTTAGAGTCGTTAGGCAATGGGCTGTTGATTTTTTCATCGGTGTTATGTACGCGTCTCAAGAGTACATACCTACCTACCTACCTTGCATCCGCAAATACATATACATACTTCGCATGGCGAGCCGGATACCAACCGTCCACCATCACGATAGGAGAGGAAGTAAGCTACCAGAATAACTGATCCCCCCCATCCTGGTGATATCCTAGACGTCTACAACATAGATGGGTAGCCATCCTTCGAATCAACCAATCACACTGTTGCCGTTGTCGGATTTCAGATGCGCGCGTCTCCCAAGAGAACCCTCCAGCGATCAAGGAAGGACTCTCGCAACTTTGACTTGATGACGGCGATGCCTCCTCCTCGTCGGTAAGTAGTGTGCGACGATGAATAAATCTCTCGCTACGAGAGCAAATCCTAGGCGGGCTAGCTCCACGTCTGACGACTACATGGGAGTGAGAGGGTCGTGATCACGAGGGCAGCGTTGACGGATCGATCGCGTCCCTCTTATGGTAGGTACGGTCCTAGGTAATTGCTAATATAATATATAAAACCACCTTTCGCACCAAAACCAAAGGTCAACACCTCGAGGAAATCAAGAGTGCCCGGTGTTTGTTAATCCTCTCTTCAGGAGGGTAGTGAATCTGAGCCGCCAATCTTAAAAAATCCGATTACTGAATAGACATAGATAGGTATAAAAGATAAAGCTAAAGCCGGTCTTTTGTTCAGAGGCTTCTCTGAAAGTTAAGCTAAAGCCAACTTGTTGATACTTTTGCTTTAATTAACTCTGTTATATCCTAATACGTATAAGATTAAACTGTCTCGCTGTATAATCATAAGCTACCGGTAGTAGTATCTCTTGTCATTAAAAAGATTTATAATTTTCATTTGCCTTTTAGAGCTTAAGGTTATGGAGAGTTTTTGGTTATGAGGAGTTTTGGTGCGAAATAAAGAATTTATGTATCAGCACCTAGAGGTGACGGCTCTGCGACGATAAATAGTTTCCCCGCTACGGTATCATGACTAGGTTGACTCCCAAGTCTGACGATTTAATAGGAGAGAGAAGGCCGTGATCATGAGGGCAGCGTTGACGGATCGAATGCCGTCCCTCTCATGGTAGGTAGAGCTGTGAGAGAATGAAAGCTCTACAAATAAAAAATCGACTGGATGACAGACAGGCAGAGACACAAGGTGTGATATTTGATCAGATATTCGAGGACTGAAATTGCGGGATTGCAGGATGTAGGTACCACACTTACCTCCGTACAAGCCAGTGTTGCCTTGGTCACAAACAAAGCCTAGGTAGCGCCGAGATTTCACACGTGACAGTGCGGGGTTCCAGCCTGCAGTACATCTGTGTTAATGATATATTTTTTTTTGTGCTCAAAGTGCGCATCGAATTAGACCCTCGGTCGTCTAGTTGGTTTATGGCGTCGGACTGTAATTGTTCAGTATCATCCGAATGTCGCGCGTAAGCTACTCCCAGACCCTGAAGCCTAGCTTCAGATCCCGAAAATGTCTCTCAGACGGCTGCTAACAGCTGTATAGGTTCGACTCGCGCCTGAGGGATATGCTTTTAAATTTTTGAATTCTTAGGTGCTTTTTGATGTTTTGTTTGCCGGATGTGTTTTTGGGAGCAGCGCAATTGAAGGTTTTGTAGGGAGTGGCGCAAAGGTGGTGGGGCCAGCTTTATCAACAGTGTACGGAGTAGGGGCGGATATTTGGGTGCAAGGGATATGGATGTCTTGCTTATCGCGGAGCGAAGTGGACGTGAACAAAATTGATGATTTCTTATAAAAATGTCGCCGGTTCATTGTGAAGTGCTTTGGTAGTGGAGATGTTCTATCGGTAATCGAGATTTTTAGGACTGTAATTGTAACCGAGTGCTCGCAGGTTCACGATCAGCGCATTGACTGTACTATACGGAGTTTGGTTGCGGATTCGTTATACTCTTCAGATTATTTCTCTTCGGTTTATTCTCCCAATTTCTTTATCTACGTCAGTTGGATGGATCCACTGGTAGAATAGCCCAAATAGTCTGTTAGGCGGAAGTAATCCCAAACATTCTCATTCTGACAGAGAAGAAGAAAGGGGTAGAGGATATAAGCGAGTCCTCAGCCTTGTCCAAGCGTCACTTTGAAACGATTGGGTTGGACCTCGCCAGGGTGGCATCTCCAAGCTCCAAAGCTGACAGCAACTCAACATATCTAGAACTCAACGTATCCGGCCATGAGAGGAGTCAATGTTATCGTGCTGCTGAGCACGCTCTCAACTTCTATCCTCGCAACAGAGCCAACCCGGCCTCGAGGTGTAGCCCCTAAATGTACGTTCCAGCTCCTCCAAAGCTCCCCATTCGTCAAAGGCAACCTAACAACAACAATTGGATAATGAAACATTGCTAATACCCTCCCCCCAAATAGTTGCAAAATTTTACCAGTCTGTGGACTCGTTTTCCTGTGTCTTAAACCCGGAAATCAAGCTTTCGCTTTCCCAGGTCAACGATGACTACTGCGATTGTCCAGATGGCACAGATGAGCCTGGCACCGCGGCCTGCTCTTACATCTCTCCTCTATCACCCTCACAACCAGCCCCGGCCAACGCACACGTTTTTTTCGCGCTTGCTGGCTTTTACTGCTACAACAAAGGGCACATCGCAAGCTACATACCCCACATACATGTCAATGATGGGGTCTGCGACTACGAGCTCTGCTGCGATGGTACCGATGAGAACGCCGGTGTTGGAGGTGTTAAGTGCGAGGACAAGTGCAAGGAAATTGGAGAGGAGTGGAGGAAAGCTGATGAGATACGGTCGAAGAGTGCGAAAGCGGCAGCGAAGGAGAGGATCAACCTCGTGAACGAGGCGCAAGCACTAAGAGCTGGTGTAGAAATTAGTATTAGAAATTTGGAGGCTGAGGTTACGGTTTTGGAGCAGAAGGCGGAAGAATTGAAGAAGAAGTACGAGGAAGTTGAGAGGAAGGAGAGGGGCCGGATGGTTACTTCAACTGGGAAGGGCAGCAAGGTCACTGTTCTGGCTGGATTGGCAAAGGCGAGGGTCAACGAACTGAGAGAGGCCCTCATCAACGTCGTGGACAAGAGGGACAAGATGAAGGAGAGACTTGAGGAGCTGGAGAAGATCATGGCTACCTTCAAGGAGGAGTATAATCCCAATTTCAATGATGAGGGTGTTAAGAGGGCTGTGCATGCCTGGGAGGACTATGCTGCTCAGAAGCTTATCTCGAGAGAAGAGGCCGAGTCTGCGGAAGACAGAGACTTTGCTGAGATCATGAAGGAGGACTCTGAGAGCGAAGGAATCAACTGGGCCGAGTGGGAGACCGAGGAGGAGAGCGATGTCGAAGCTCGTACGCAACGCACT